TATAACAAATTATGCGAAGCAACGCGCTGCTTGAACTCGTCATCATAAAGGCGTCAGTCTAACTACAAAATTCAGAAGTTACGTTACTGTAACTGCATACAAGACAATACGTGTGCTGGTCATAAGTATTAATTAGACTGCAAATTCTGGCTAGATTTGCTAAAATTGAGGGTTCAACGGCCGTAAAGAACCTAATTTTAGCAGACGTTTTCAATACGACAGTAAATTTATGGTAAAGCGACCCTTTTTGAGGGCACAATGGCACGTAAGGGGCTCATTTACGACAATCGTTGCCAATACGACGGTAAATGTATGCTAAAGCGGCCCGGTTTGAGGGCTCAATGGCCCGTAAGAGGCGCCGCTGTTGGCTGAGAGATGCGCCAATCGCCGCTTGGCCGGCGCGTTGCAATACCGCGGCCGTATAGTGAGGGTTATGGTGAACCACGCACCTCTAGCATTCATTTGGGGGAGATTTAAGGAATTATTTATTATAATATGTTTGAATTTGTATGGCTTATTGGTGTAAGTGATGATGTAATTCGTGATAACAAAATATTTTTTTTGCTGCAAATGAGAAATATTTATTACGATGGAGCTGGTCTCCAAAAGTTTCCAAATAAAATTTTATGAATTTACCTGCCTTTGCTTGGAAAAATTTCTTGAGGAGATGTTATGTGTTGCTGCATATTTCCTTTCTCGTTCCGTATATTTCTTTAGTTTTTTTAACTCGCAAGTTCTTTGAGTCAAACCCATGTAATCGTATGGAATATAATTATTGGCAATGTATGAGGATACACTTTCCATATATGTCATTTCTGTGAGCTATGTTAGCAAACGTAATGTTATTTCGTGTTGGTTGTACATTCCTCGATGTCCGGAACTTAATTTGCCTCGATCAGTTGCTCTTTACCAACTACGCCTATAGAACGTTAGATATTTTTAATTTATATTGAGAGGCTTAATTGTAACTTAATTCATACTGCGCTTGGAATGTTCAAAAAATTTCTAAATTGATGGTGAAAGGCCTAATAAATCATTGTAGCTTTCGATCCTGTAATATCCAGAATAATTTTTGATAAGTTTCTAAACTAATTCTAGAACGGTGGTGTGACTTCATTTGAGCGATTCATACAATTTCTCTTCTGATGCAATTCTTTTGTTTGCGGTTTAACTTGCCTTCCCCGATTCTTATTTGACCGGACCGAAAAACTTCCTTCAAATAATAAATATAAATGCATCTCGATGCGGCAAATGTACAGAATTATTTACATACTCTACTCCGTGGGTTATGTTTCAAAGTAAAATGTATTTATTATTTATTTTATTATTTAATTTATTAAAGCATAATAAATTTTGTACAGCTTCGCTCGTCCAGCTTCATGATCTGTTGTCTCCTCGCTTCCACTTCCAAACTCATCCCGAATATCGACAATTTTTAGCGCATTTTCTCATTTATGAAAAAAATGCACTATTGTGCTCGTCATGTCCGTCTGTCTGTCTGTCTGTCTGTTATTCCGTCTGCCCGTCCGTCCGTGACCTCAAGTTTTCGTCGACGAGAAAATGCGCTCTCTGTCACTCACTGCTGTGAGTACTGAGTTATATTTTTTCTATCCATCACTGGAACATCTGTTCAAGATTTGTCCAATCATGAGTCATTGCTCAGGATTGAGTTTGTTCGTTTTTTTTTGCAGGTAGTTATGATTGTGCACATTCCAGTTCTTGCAGAGGTTATACGCCTCGTGTAAACTATATACGGACTCTATACGCTATATAATAAACAGCCTTATATGGGGGAAAAGGGCCGGTTTAACTTAAAACTACATGTTGGACGTTATGTAATTAGTTTGATTTAAAACTAATTATGAAAATTCTATTGGTAATACAGGGTGAACCAGAATTAACTGACCCTTTTAATTTGTTAATAAATAAAAAACTAAGAACGTTATGAAGTTGAAACTTGTTTTATTTAAAAGAAGAACATTTTTATGGTAATTTTGTATCCCAGTTAAAATATTGTATCCTATTACAATATTTTATTATTGTATTAGTTAAAATATTTATTATGTATTAATAATATGTATTAGTTAAAATATTGTATGTAATATTGTATCCTAGTTAGTTATTGTATCCTAAAAACTAGGATACAATATTACCATAAAAATGTTCTTCTTTTAAATAAAACAAGTTTCAACTGCATAACGTTCTTAGTTTTTTATTTATTAACAAATTAAAAGGGTCAGTTAATTCTGGTTCACCCTGTATAAGCGCCACTCGGATGACGGTTTCAAATAAATCAGTTCCTACACTACTCAGGCATCATTGTGAGCGTTATAATTGCTTCCGTGTGCAAACAAAATTTAAAATTAATTGTGCCTCGTTGCTTAGTGAATTAATTGCCCTACGTTAATCTAGCTGGCATAAAAGTTTTCTTATAAAAGTTAATCTGGAACGAGGTCATTCAATTTCATTTTGATTATACAGGAGGTTCATTTCAAGCATTTAATTTTTCAAAATTGCCCTGGCTCATGAAGAAGTAAAGCGTCGTTGCTAAATGGTTGATTGCCTGAACATATCCTACATAAGCTACTAAATTAATACTGTTCTTTATATGTACAGAATAATCGAACCTATTTACTCTAAAACAAAATGCGTGACCTGTACACAAAAACAAAACAATAAAGATTCTTCTTCTCATCTTATTGAAAAAAGAAGAGGTCGTCATAACTGCATTCAAAATAATCACAATAATGATCTCCCTCGATCAAGGTGTTTCCTGTGCAAGTAAAGTAATGAGGGCAATTTAATGGTTTCAAAATTGGATAAAATCGTTTCAAGCAAGTAAGGTTCAAGAAGCCAGAGTTCATTCAGGTTTTTCACTCCAATTTTAGTTTTGTGCTTCTGTGCGTCCAAGATGTCACGTAAAAATATTTAATTGATTTCTTCAGTTTGAAACATTGATTTTTTCTTTAAAAGTTAGTACTTTTTATGATTCTAAAATGATTATATCGATGTCATGAGCCAAGATTGTTCATTAAATTTCATTGGAACTTAATTCAAGCATGGGAGATTTAAGACTATAAACTTCGTTTAAAACTGTCTGCATTTTCATTGTATCGAAAAAAAGTTCAGTTTCAATTCACCATAGAATGACACGTGAGAGATATCTTACGTATCATGTTTTACGTGCAAAATGTTTCACGTATTAATAAAACGAAATGTCACATACATTAACGTTACGAAATTACGTGCATTATGATATGTCTTAATTATTAGGAAAAGGTGCCAGAGTGATCAATAAAGCAAAGAAATACTTATGCGACCTATTCATTATACGTTAAAACGTGGCATTTATTTCAAATGAGTTTGATAATCAAAAAATTTTAACGGTGAGAGCCTCAACGTGAAGCTAGGCCAGACAACGGCTAGCAATCCTTATAGTAATTAACGATCGTAGTATTATAATTACTAAATAAAGTAATTAAATAGTAATTAACGATCGAGGACAGCTTGACGCACGGAGACTGCAACGCTGCAGTGGTAAGCATCCTGCGCTGCATGACGGAAACTACCAATAAGTAACATACGATGTTATTAACTGATGTATGGCATCAGTAAATCGTGTCCGTTAGTCATTCATGTTAGTTATCCATTAATTAATTACCCAATAAATAACATACGATGTTATTAACTAGTGTAATGGCATGAGTAAACCGTGTCCGTTTAGTCATTCATGTTACTAATCCATTAATTAATTACTACTCTATCGGCCATAAACTGGTTTATCAGTCATCTTCATTATGACTTACGAAGTCTTATGATTTCTAATCTATATATCAGAGGTGAATCAAAGAACAGGGATACAAATTCATGACTTTATTAAAATCGTTATAGAATATTGATGGGATGACAATTAATTGACTCAATCGTACGCGAACCTAACCTAACGCTAAGGATTATTTGGTTGTAATGCAATTTGTGCAATATTTCTTCACGTGTCATCAATGCATGTCAAAATATAAAATATATATTTTAACACAAATTTTTTTAAACACAAATTTTACTTTAAAATACACGATGAGCCATGAATTTTAATTCACTACCTGAACAGAATTTACAGTGGCGGGTGTCCATGTTTACGACATTGCAGAGCTCGTGATATTATGTTTACGACATTGAAGAACTTACAAAAATCATTGTTTACGGTATCAAAAAGCATACAATCTCATGTTTACGACGTTAAAAAATATGGCAATATCATGTTTACAACATTGCAGAGCTCGTGATATTATCTTTACGACATTGAAGAACTTACAAAAATCATTGTTTACGGCATCAAAAAGCATACAATCCCATGTTTACGACGTTTAAGAAGCTGGAAATATCATGTTTAAGACATAGCAGACATGGTGGTATTATGTTTACGACATCGAAGAACTTACGAAATCATGTTTACGGCATCAAAAAGCATACAATCAACGGACTATCCGCTGTGGCTGTGATATGCCTATAAAAATTAAATGTTCTTGTGGATGATTAGAGAGTTACGCCTTAATCGTATACAGAGCCATGAGCAAAATAGTGGAGATGATTTGATCAAACCCAATTAAAACTCAACAGCTTTTTTACACATTTTTAATGAAAACAGACTAGTAGAAAGATTCATTGACAGATAAATAGGATGTCAAACATTATGCGATGAGATACATTGTGGATATCACCCTGCACAACCTATATATAGACGGAAGGCCCAAACCCCCTAGACGAAATACATCCTATACATATAGCATGCCGGCACTAACACTTTATGTAAGACACCTTGACACCTTAGATAGCACACCCTATGCGGAACACCGTGACATACTAAATTGTGATAAATAACATAATACAGATCGGTGCACGCACTTGCAGATGTGTCGTATTGACATGTGCACGCTCACTTTGATGGGATGCTCAAAATTAGAAAATATAATGTTCGAGAAAAATAATTCGAGAAAAATAAAATATGAATAATAATTTTCCTAGAATTAAAATTAGTTACGAGAATTTTGTGAATGCAAATTTGTTTCTTAGGTTAAATAGTCACCATGGTGATGGTCCTAATCTCAAACTATTCTCAGGACAGAAAATTTAAATTTGGAAATCATTTCCATTGTATGATCTTTCAACATTTGGACTCCCTTTCATGAGATGAATGACATCTTTTCTTCTTAATTCATCATAACAATCACGTAATTAATAATACAGAGGGAAGTGGTTTACTTCAGTCAGCACAGTCCTTATGAATTAGAGAGAGAAAAATCATTAAGAATAATATCACAGACAACGACTGAAAATAAATCAAGTTTGGCTAGCACAGTCACGCGCGTCATGAGGTGTAGTGTGTTCTCGGCTGGACAATATTATGAAAGTCGCGTGAATGGGACAACCCAGTAAATATTTTCATGTGATCTAGAGACTGGTGGTGCAGCTTGGACGCGTGCGCAGGTTCTGCATCTACTTGAAGATGTCGAACTTGTGCGTACGAGAAGAGGTTGAGTGAATGCAGCAGCAGATTGGGTTGGCAGAGGAGCAGATCTGATCTCGCAGGAGGCGTCATTAACGGAAAAGCAGTTGTTGCTGGAGGGGGAAATGGGAGGTTGAAAGGGGGTATTTGAAACTGACTCTGCTGGCTGCGCTCATGAGTCTTCTCGTGTTTCTGCAGGTGATCTTTTCGACCGAAACCCTTTGTACAAATCCTGCAAACGTGAGGCTTCTCCCCCGTGTGCGTTCGCTGGTGCCTAGTGAGCTCTTCTTTACGCACAAATCGCTTGCCGCACTTGCGCTTCGTTGATGACTCGACAATGTATTCGCAACCGTAATTGCGCACGTTGAAGTGCCCTCGCATGTGCGCGTCAAGCTGCGCCTGATTACTGAACGTATTGTGACACTTGCTACACGCTTTGTCTTTAGGACGTTTTTTCCGGCACATATCTGACAGAGGCAACCTACTTTCTAAATTGGACAGAGACAACTTCGAAGAATGGGGAGCCTTGGTTAGACTAGACGCTGGTCTTTTATTTTTGATAGGTTGTTCATCAGCGCCAATGATGTGTTTCATCTTCTGATGCAGATTAAAATTCCTCTCTTCCGAATGCCGTCTTTCCAAAACATTTGTTGAATATTTTGGGGATGTTAATTCGTTTGCTCTGAGTTCTTTACTGTCAGCGTCGTCACTCTCACTCCTGCTTCCCGGAGATTTGGGTTGCGCTTTAGAAGCAAAGCAGTTATTTTGATGAGCCAACAAACAGTGAAAATTAATATCTTCACCATCGTTCCTGGTATCGTCACGTCTAAGTTCCCAAGGCCGGAACAAACTTCCAGTTTGGGGAAGAGGATTCATCACGATACACGAGAAGGCGTGAATATCTTCCGGTAAAGTTTGATTTAATCAATGCAGAGATGCGCACCACAACGCATGCTGGTCAGACTGACGGACGCTTCAGGCAGCCTCCCGAGCTGGGCTCCAGGACTCAGACGGGCGCCGCCCAGACCCCGCCTGCCGCCAAGCAATTGGTCGCGACTGTGATTGGTCGCATGGCGCCGACGGTGTTTGCCTCCCTACCATTTTCCATGCTGTCACCCTAATGGGCTCATTAAGTGAGCACTGAACCCGCCATAAACGCCTTCTGGGTGAACAGTGCTGGAACACAGCCAAAAAAGATGGTTTGTATTCATGCGACGGAAAAAGTACGCGAGCTTTCTTATTATATTACCCATGAATGATTTGGAAGTGAAAAACAGCATCTGTTTGAGAATTTGTACCTAAAAATGTATAAGAAAGAATACATTCCTTCTAGCTACGACTTTAACAATCGGTCACCTTTTTTAATTGTAAACCAAAGACAATTGGTAGAACTAACGCCATTGTTTCCTGCGTACAATATATCTTACTGACGAAAAAAAGTGTAAAGTAATTTGTACTTAAACTATTTCACTAGAAGAGATCTACATCAGTTAATGGTTTACGTGCGAATGCCAGCAACGCAGGCGTCTGCGAGACAAGTTAATCTCGAGCTCTGAAAGAGGAAGTGTTTCGCGCCCAATTATGTGATAAGGTCTGCGGGCGGCTGGTGAAGCGAGGGCATAACATAGGGGAGCGGCAGAGGCGTCTCTGATCTTGTTATGATAAGCAGCGTGAGGGCCCCACAGGGCTCACTATAGTGGCGTAACCCCATTACTATTGTGGGGCCCCACAGGGCTCAGCACAGTGGAGTAATCCCATTACTACGGCGGGGCCCAACTGGGCTCAAAACAGTAGCGTAGCCCCAATGGGCTCACCACTGTGGCGTAACCCCATTACTGTAGCGGGGTCCAAATACTGGGCTCACTACAGTGGCGTGGCCCCACCATGGGCTCACTACAGTAGCGCGGCCCCACTGCATGGACCCACTACAGTAGCGTGGTCCCACTAGGCTCACTACAGTAGCGCGGCCCCACTGCATGGACCCACTACAGTAGCGCGGCCCCTCTGCATGGAATACAGTAGCGTGGCCCCACTGCATGGACCCACTGCAGTAGCGTGGCCCCACTGCATGGGCTCAATACAGTAGCATGGCCCCACTGCATGGACCCACTACAGTAGCGCGGTCCCACTGCATGCGCCTGCTGCAGTAGCGTGGCCCCACTGCATGGGCCAATATACTGTAGCATGGCCACAATGCATGGACCCAATACAGTAGCGTGGCCCCACTGCATGGGCCCAATACAGTAGCGTGGCCTCACTGCATGGGCCCAATGCAGTAGCGTGCATGGCCCCACTGCATGGACCCACTATACAGTAGCGCGGCCCCACTGCATGGGCCCAATGCAGTAGCGTGGCCTCACTGCAAGGACCCACTACAGTAGCGCGGCCCCACTGCATGGACCCACTGCAGTAGCGCGGCCTCACTGCATGGACCCACTACAGTAACGTGGCCCCACTGCATGGACCCAATACAGTAGCGTGGCCCCACTGCATGGGCCCAATACTGTTGCGTGGGCTCACTGAGCGACATCTCTTCTTCTTATCTTCAGTTCTTATCCGTGTCGTTTGTATATATATGTTGCCGGACGATTGATCGCTTTAGGAGCAGAGACTTCAAATTTGTATACGCTCGTCAACATATATAAAATGTAACTATATATTACGTTCCTAAATTGCATTCATTTTCAATGTTGTCTCGTACAATCCTTCGTATAGTGACCATCATCATTCTCATTCGATTGAATCGTGATACAAGAGAATCTTAAATTTGATTAATTCACAAAATGTTACATTCGCAGCTTTAAAACTTTAACTATGATTAAAGTTGTATTTAAACTAAACATTACGTAATAGTGAACAAATTGCAATTAGGTTGAAAATTTTCAGACGATAAAAGAGAAAAGTGGGACACGGGAAGAAAACGTGTCAAATGGGATCGTTATACTATACATGAAGCTGAAAGGTGGGACTCGGGAAGCAAACGTGTTATGTTATATAAGGGATCGTTACTACATGAAGCTGAGAAGTGGGACTCGGGAAGCAAGCGTGTTACGTTATATAAGGGATCGTCACTACAACTACCTGAAGCTGAAAAGTGGGACTCGGGAAGCAAGCGTGTTATGTTTTATAAAGGATCGTTACTACATGAAGCTGAAAATACGCGGGGACTCGAGAAGCAAACGTGATGGGATCATTACTACTATAGACATTGAAGGTTAGATCGACAGGCTTGTCAAACTTATATTCGACAAGTGTTAAGCGGGAAATAAATAGTTTTGTTCGAATCGATTTTAAAAATTTTTGACAGGGCTTTTTCTTGTCCTCTAGCTGTAACCGACCGAGTTGTCTCCAGAAATGCTTCATTCGTGTTGTCTTCTGAAATGCTTAATTAGCATTTAATTAATTAATTGAAATAATAGAGGACTCAATTATTGTTTCAAAGAAATTCAATTTATTGCTTCGCAACATTGTCAGTTTTTTCTTACAGTACTATTTCTGTTGAATATTTCAATGGAAGTTGAGGGTTCCTACCGCAATCACCGGTAAATCTCTTCACGAGGTTTCATTTTACATGATTATTGATGACGGAATGTTATGTTAACGCTCAGCTCGCACACCTAAAATATTCATACCTAATATTCATGAATTTAGGGTGTACCACATGCGACTTAAGGAAAATATGAACGATCATGAGCGTATAGCGAGCAGCATACCGCGTCGCCATACATTCAGTGCATGCCGCTGTCGTATATACAGTGCGGGCGCGAGGTAAGCGATCATGAGCGTGTATCGAGCGGGATACCGCGCCGCCTTAAATGTATTACGCCATGAGTCTTCTGAATTTAAAAATTCAACAGTAATATGCTTATTTCACTGTGTTATCCAAGGTAATTTCTATCAATGAACAGTAAACGGTTATAGACCCAACAGACCCTAATAATTAAGAAGTGTTCATGTGGTCAGCAATATTTAGCATTCAAAACTTCATTAGTCATCTGACAAAATTCATGCATAATAAAATACGTTGATTGTTTCTTTCAGATTTCTGGAACATTTTAGAAATTTTTCATATCTAACACTACAATTTTCCGTGACTTGATAACAGATATCCATTCATATATTGCCTGTAAATTCATGCGAGTTGGACGCTACGGAGACTTTACAAGAGAACTCTTTACGCAGACATCAGGGGTGGCTTCTGAAGTTAGGGCCCCGCGGTCATTGCTTTGGGGGGCGCAGCCGTAGGCCACAAATTTTAATTAAATAAATTAATTAATTAAAAAGGTCCTGAAGCCAACGCTTAGCTTCACCATGCATTAATATTACTCAGCCTTAGGGCTAGAAGCCGCAGACTATGCTTGAACTCCGTAATCCAGACAAGCGACACACTGCCGAAAGATAATAGCGCCGTAGGTCTTCAGCCAATGATTAAGCATGCTTGCTCATAATCAAGCAGTTTCTCATCCGGCTTTGCCTAGTCCAGCGTCCAGCCTTATATTCATGCTGTCCCGGCTCACACTCTTCTTGTAGCCATTGACTGCCTGGGCCTGCAAGGACCGCCTTTCTAACTTCCTGTAGCCAACGAGGTTAGGTTAGGTCCGCTCAGCTAGGTTTGTTTGGGTGGAGAAATATTGCAACTTGTGCAGGTTAGGCCTGTAGCAGGCCATGGGCCTATGTCTTCAACGCCGACTTCTATGTAGAGGTTAGGCCTGAAGAGGTTAGGCCGGAAGAGGTATGATCAGATGCAGTATGGCTCATGCTTACCTTTGTAGCAAGCCTATTTTGTAGCTGTGGACATCTGGCGCGATGGCTTTGAGCACTTGACTTCATAGGCCGTTATGCCCTCTAATTAACGTTCTTATCTACCGAAATAAATATGAACTAAGTGTGAAGTATGGCATAACTGGCCTCCGGCATGAGCCCCATTGCTTTTACAACGCCGGAGCCGCGACCTTGGTATTGATGGACTGAACACGTCATTTAAACCATAACATCGTCGAGAGCTTGATGAAGGACATAAACAGAAGAAGAATTCATGCACAAATGTTTCGAAAGAATTCAAGTGCACTTGTGTGTATGAAATCATTACAATAATGCAAAATGAATGACAAATCTCTGGTCCCGAAATAATGACCGACTCCCTAATCGCGTCGGGTGGGCGGGAAAACGCTCTTCATTTCTAACAATCTGTGTAAAATATATAAACACAAGTCTCAGCCTTATCTGTCTCGATATTCTGCAACTGAGATTTATTCTTGGTGTCGAATCAATAATAATCTAGCTATTTTTATCCATAATAATTAGGTATGTCATTTAGAAAAGTACGCATAAAATTTTACCACCGAGTGATCTGCTCCACGTGTCAGCAGTGAACTGTGCCCCTGACAATTAGTGTCAAACTCACCACGCCAGTGTTCAATGAGCTGTGAAGATGCTCTCGTGCGTCTCATTTTATGTAGTTTTTGCAATGGGGGCAATGAGATAAAAAACTATTGAAACCATTAAACTTTAAGAAAGCAACCAGCGATTGAAGATGCATATGTTCTCAGGCACACACACACGTAAATGAATAACAGTATCCTGACCATCGGCAACATCACCACAATATCAAGCGGTTGGTATTGTCGAACACGCAAATGGCATGGTGCACGAGACCAGAAATTTGGTCGTTTCATCCCCATAATTTTTATAAATGGTTTCGAGTTCGAAATTGTGCGTTAGAAGATTTCATTGGATAGGAAACAATTTATGCCAATGCCTAGGAAAATAATTACAGTATATGTAAGATGCAAAACATCAATAAAATACTCAACAAAATGGAGGGTAGAAATCATTGCTCCCGAGGTACTAGCGTGACACGATAACCCGAGGCAATTGGGATTAATGAAGAGAAAAATTCAGGAGCGTATGATGATATGTCCGGTTTGTTCCGAGAA